AGTTGATGCGCCGGCCCGCGGGCGGGGCGGACGTGGAGGGGGTGGGGAGGGTGGGTGGGGGGTGGGGGGGGGGGGGGGGGGGGGGGGGGGGGGGGGGAAGTGGAGACCCTGGGGAGGGCTGAGATCAACTTCATCCCATCTTCTGCCCGCCCTTCCACCCCTCCCTCCCTTTCTCTGTCCCACCATCCTTCCCTCCATCTGGGGTACTCTGGGGAGGGAGGGATGGCGAGGTGCAGCCCAGCTCCAGCTCTCCAGCATGCAGCCACCATGGTGGGGTGGCTTCCCCACAGGGATGGGGGGCAGCCAGGGCTGGGACAGGATAGGTCCTGCCTGCTCAATACCACCATGTGGGAGCAGCTCTTCTGGCCGGGGCCGCGGTGAGCTCCAGGGCCGGGCAGCAATAGCGAACACAAGAGCTCCGGGGAAGGGCAGCCGTGCCGGCCAGAGGACACCGTGCTGGGCTGGGGGAGGCAGCAGCACTGAGCGGGTTTTGGCGGGGGAATCCATGTGTCCCCATGGCCTCGGTCCAGCCCGGGCTGAGCCAGCAATGCAGGACAAAGCAGTGCAGGATTGTAGCCAGAAGAGTTTAATGAGAAAGGCCCCAGAAGTCTGTGTGCAGGAGCAGGAGCAACGTTTCTGGCAGGGCGGTGGTCCCGGCGCTGCCCCTTGCCCACAGGGTGCTGGTATTGGCTTGGGGGTGCGCTGGCCCTGGGCAGCAGCTACGTGTAGAGCCGGACGGTGCCGTCAGCGCCAGAAGAGAAGACCCAGGGCTGGGTAGGGTGGAAGAGCACGTCGAGGACGCCCAGGTCCAATGTTAGCACGTGGCCCTTCAGCACCTTCACGGGCACCAGCAGTGGGTTCTGCAGCAGGTCGCTGTGGTGGAGGAGACAGGTCAATGCAGGGCTTTGGCTCCCTCCCTCCAACCTCCCTGGGGTACCCCCCAGAGTCACCCCACAAGCGCTGCCCCCCCTCCCCAAGGCGCAGGCAGCACCGCACCCTCCGTGCCCAGCAGCTCCTCTAGGGCTCTGCCATGCCGCGGCTTGCTGGAGGAGAGGAGAGCCGACACCGAACCCCCATGGCTTCCCCCCCCCCCCCCCACGTACTTGTCGACCATGCCGTGGCAAACGATGACAGTCCCATCGTCCGAGCCCGAGGCGAAGAGCGGGTAGTGCTTGTGGAAGGCCACGCTCCGCAGCGCTTTCTTGTGGTGCCTGCAAAGACAGCGGGTGCGAAGTCAGCCAAAGGGGTGGACGCTCTGCCCCGTCCCAACCCTTGGCCGGCGCGCCTGGGTCCGCGCACGGCCAGGCTTTACAGACCCCAAGCTCTGCTGTGAATGACTGTATGTATGGGAGGGGAGAGGGCAACTAGGACAGACTGGGACCTGCTGTAGGCAGCTCAAACCAGCCCAGCACCTACTGCCATAGAGGCTTTGCCCCATCCTGAGCCCCAGGAGAGCTGTGGTCACCGTTCCCCACTCTGGCACATGAGAGCCGTGAGACATCAACACGCTGGGCAGGGATGGCTGCTTCTGGCACAGCCCTGATGGGCTCCATCCTGCTGCCAGGTCCCAGGAGAGGGAACAGCCCCAGGAAGGGGCCCCATGGGGTTTGGGGGGGCTGCAGGTAGGTTAATGGGGAGCAGGCAGAGGCTAGCCGTGGCCCCAGGGCTCACCGTAGCAGCTGGTAGGGTCTGGTGGAAAGGTCCAGGTCAAACCAGGCCAGCTTGCTGTCATAGCTGCCGCAGATGATGTTGTCACCTGTGAGAGGGAACAGGGTACTACTGGGGTTGCCAGCAAACCCCAGGGTGTCCTGCCAGCACCCAGAGCCCTGCTTGCACCCCAGGCAGCCTGGCTGAGCGGGACACTCCGTACCAGCTTACAAGACCTGGCAGCTCCCTGGGAAGGCACGCAGGCCACGTACCCCCGGATGGCTATGCTGGCCACCCACTTGCAGTTCGTCATCAGATCAGCAGGACACTCCGTACCGGCTTACAAGACCTGGCAGCTCCCTGGGAAGCACGCAGGCCACGTACCTCCAGGGTGGATGGCCATGCTGGACACCCACTTGCAGTTCGTCATCAGCTTCTTGGTGAGCTCTTGCTTGAGGAGGTTGTAGACGCGGACGTAGCGCTGGGTGGCCACGAAGAAGTAGGGCCGGATGGGGTGGAAGAGCACGCACTGCACCAGCCCCTTGCTCTTGCGGAAGGGGTTCTGACTCCAGCGTTTGCTGGTCTGGTGAATCAGCACTTGCATGTTGCTGTTGTCAGAGACGACGCTGGCGAAGTAGTCGCCTTTGCCGTGCCAGGTCACCTGCTTCACGGCCTGCGGAGAGCAGGGAGGGGGACAGCCATGGGTCAGACCCATCAGAGGGACTGCCCCACGCCTCCTCCCCAGGGAGCAGCCCCCTGGCCAGGCTGGCTCCCATGGGACCTCCCCATCCCCACCTTGCTGTGCTGGATGACCAGCCGGACGCCTTTGCTGTGCTCCTCCATGGTGGCCATCACCCACTGCACAGGCTGGACCCGCTCCTCCTCCGGCGCCACGTAGGACTCGAGCAGCTGGTCGGTGGCCCCGTAGAGCAGCTTGTCCCCGAGGCAGGGGTTCACCAGCAGCACCGACTGCTCCCTGCAGTGTGGGACGAGTGTATGGGTCAGGGCACCCCCAAGGAGAGGAAACCCCTCTGCAAGCCCCGTGCCGCCACGGGATGGCCCCAGCAAAGGGCCAGGGCCACAGGGAGGGACGTGTGGGACTCTGCGAGCAGTCAGGCCCTTCTGTAGGCCAGCAAGGATGGGAAGAGGGAGAATACGGGGCAGCTCTGTCATAGCCTGAATGCCCCAGGGAGGATGGCAGAGACCAAGTGGTTCCTCCACAGAAGAATGAGGGCCACCAAACGAAGTGGGAGGCAGGGTCACAGCGAGCAGAGGTGGCTTTGCACACCGCAGTGTGGCCATCCTCGCTGCTGGGGGTGCCGCGAGTTTACAGGTGCTCCTTGGAGGCTGGAGAGGCTTTGGGAGAGGAAATCCAGCAACCACTCCAGCTCAGGGAGCTCCTGGCTGGAGGATGATGAAGGCCACGCTGGGACACTCACACGCAGATGGCCACCAGGCAGATGGTGGGGTTGGGGTTCCAGGCAACGCTTTTCACCACACCGCCCACGGGCAGGGTCTTCATGCAGCGAGCCGTGCACACCTCCCAGAACCGCACCGTGCAGTCATCAGAGCCTGTGGGACAGGATGGGGTGGGCCAGGGCCAGGGCCAGGCACGGTTCCCCCCCCCCCAGGGACGCTGTGCCAGGGGCTGCCACGTCTCAGCTCAGCAGCGTGGGGCTCCAGGGCACGTCCCCAGGCCAGAGGGGAGAGCAGCCCCATGCCCCGCAGCACTGCCCCTGCTCGCAGCCTTTGGGGAGGAGCACTGGGAGCAGCAAGAGGGATGCAGCAATGTCCCGGCGCCCGCGATTCGCCCGCATGACAGCAGCTCCAGCAACACGAAGGCGAGTCGTGAGTGGGGGCTGCTGCCAAGAGAACAGGCCCCCACTCCGCTCCCTCCAGCACCGCGTCTCTGCCCGTGGTCCCCCTCCTGACACGCACGGCTCCCGGTGCAGCTGCCGTGCTGGCAGCATGCCTGGCTCAGCTCGGCACGGCATGGTGCGGCCCTGTCTAGCTGCGAGATGCAGGAGGCAGCTCCCCGGGCAGGCAGCTCCCCGGGCAGGCGCAGGTAGCCAGCGGCGTGCACGCGTCCCCACAGGTTGGGTTATTTTTAACGCCTGATCTCAGCCACTTTCCCAGCCCAGGGCCAGGAATTCCACGTTGTGCAACCGACCGACACTGCGGCCACCGGGAGCTGGCAGCCTGGAAACTCCAGCGCTATAAAAAGCACATGTGCCTTTGTGGGCTGTTAAACTGCCATCTGCTCTCAATCTCCAGCCTCCGGCCGGCCGCGCAGGGCTCTGCATTTACTCTTCCAGCCTCACTTTCTCCACTGCTGAGCGTGAGGGACGCAGGCTCCTGGGTGGGGTCCCGAAAGCAGCTGGAAAAACCCACGGAGCCTTCTGGAGGCAATGCGCCTTTCTGCAGTCTGGGGGGGGACACGCTGCCGGCTTGGGCAGCCGCAGGACTCCCAGGGATGCTCCCAGCCTCCTGCCCAGGCTTCCCCCACAGCCATGCACCGGTGGAGGGGGCTGGCAGGCTCCCTGGCGCCCAACCGCTCATGGAAACCCCAGCTCTCAAACGTGCACAGGGTGGCAGCCTGGCTGCCCCGAGCCCCACACTGGCATTGGGTGACACTGGGACCAGCTCCAGCACCGGTGCCAGGCCAGCAGTGCCCGGCATGTCCGGGATGCCCCGGCCTGGGGAGCGAATCCTTACCTGACACCAGCCACTGCCCGCTGGGAGAGATGCTGAGGCAACGCACCAGGCTGGTGTGCCCACGGTAGACCTGGGGAGGGAGACGGGAGGCAGGTGAGGTCCCCAACGCAGCCCAGCAGCTCCTCTGTGGGGACGTCCCTGCACTGCCCCGGGTTCCTCAAGCAGGGAGAGGGGGCCTAGGGTCATTTGTGTCTAGAGGAAAGCAGAGGTCTGCGTGCTGCCAACCACCATGCATGAGCAGACCTGGGACCCCTGCTCTTTTCCCGGGGCAGGTCCCCTGCTCTGCCCATCTGTAATGGCACTGATCCCAGTCCTGCCTCACCCACTGCAGGCAGGACCCCACTGCCGCCTGGCTCTGCCCAGCATGGGCTGGAAGGCAGGTCCTCTCCCTCCGGGGCAAGCAGGCAGCAGCTGTGCCCAGAACAGCCGTTACGGGTGCGAGGGGCAGCCCGGCC